CATGTCTTGATCCGGGTTGTGTAATGACTACTATAATTTTCTAGTATTAGAAATGGAATTTAATAAGACAGATTATTTTTTCATATTCAAGATCTCATTCAAATGTGAACTTTATCATTGTTTGTTAATATTTTTTTACATAAAACAGCTTATTTTCTTCGTTTTGACGCGATTCATTCTTTCTTAAGAATTTCAGAACTGAGTTGCAGTTGGATTATACAAACAAAGAAGCAGTATTTAAGGAATGTTTAAATAACTGGAAGGAATTCGAGCGATTTGCTGTCGTTGAATCACAAAGACTGAGAAATGAAGTATATTCGCTATTTCATTTTAGAATTGTTTAATTTTGAAGATTTTTAATTAAATCAATCGTATTTCTTTGTGCTGAATTATTGGGATTGCAATGATTTCATTTTGTCTTTTTCAGGTGCATTTGAAAGTATCAGCGGATTTCTATGAAGAAATGCAAAAGCTGGAGTCAATTATTGACAGATTTGATAACAAATTCATTGACGAACCTGTTTCAATTGAAGGCTATAAAAAGGTTAATTTCATTTGTTAGATAACACCAATGCTTTATTTGATAACCTTCAGTTCTTTCTGTTATGCTTTTCTGACTGGAAGTTATGTTGCAGAATTTGGCAGATTTTGTGGATAAAATCGTGACGGAAGATTTAGAAGCACGTTGCACCAAAGGTCTCATACAACGTATTTGGAATTTGGAAAATTCCATATATCGTGCGTTTTTATAATACGTCTTGATCATACTGAAGCATGCATTTTTTATGTTTATTCCATTAAAGTTCATTCTTGTGTTCATTTCATACTTCAGTCTTCCATTTTTAATCTAGGCATTTGCTTCCTTTCCTTGATGTTGGATAAAGTGTTTAACAACTTGGTCACCAATAAGTATGAGTTAAAATAGTTTGTAAAAATGAAATTAAAATTCCAAACATCGTTTAGATCACCAGTTAATAGTTTTTATATCATTTCAGTGCATGTTAACCAGATACTCCCGGAACCATATACTAAAAAGCTGGAGCAGGTATTAGTTTTTTTAAAAAATTTGTGAATTAAACCGTTTACAAATTCGACAGTCACATAGTTTTGATTTGATTTCAGATCTTAGCTTTTTTGAGGACTTCCTGAACAAAATTAGATAATAGTTGAAGCATAAAAATTCGTCCAAATAATGTTGTAATATTTGTTGGAAGTAATTTCTGTTCCCAGATCTGGCGGTATCGATCTCCGTTCAGTTTTTCAATCTGCATCAATTGTCCATCATTGATGCAAGACTTTCGAGAAGATTTGGAATTCCGATTCTCTTTCGGTATTACGGCGGTCATCAGACGGGTCAATGCATATTGTTTAGGAAAACCTGTAACCGCTGTTGGCAATCAGCCATTACTTGATGTTTTCGTGAGTTTTTTGAGATTTTGGTTTCTGTTGAACAACTGTTAGTGGTTTTAGTTGCATTGTATAAAACATTCTGTTTAAGTAAATAAGTTACATTAACTAGTCGGTATTACAGTGACATGTAAATTAGATTTATTCTCATTGCACATAAGACTGAGGCTTATTCAAAACAATCTATTAGAACCTAGTCAAGAAAAATTTTTCATCGTGTGAGCAACTTTATTTATAATGCCTCTTTTTGAAGGCATAAAAGCTTTATAAAGTTTATAAGACTTTCTCAGATATCAGTGATATAATTATAAACCATATTATATTTCTGTTGATGGAATATACGTCTTTGATGTTAAATAATGGTTGATGGAATATACGTCTTTGATGTTAAATAATGTTTCAGAAAAGTTATAATAAGCAAACAAACACAGAGGCTGGGGAGGGAACTGTGCAGCAAAATTGTCACGAAGAAATGCAAGTGATGACAGCTGATGAATCACAGGAAAATACCCTAATGTCTCAACTTTTATTTTCTTCGATTGGTTATGTTGCTAATGGTGGTCTTGGCCTTCTTATTGTGGGCGGAATAGTTAGTTTTCGATTCTTTTTTGTTAATATAGTATTAGTACTTTTTAACATACTCATAGATAGGATCAAGAAGTATGCTAGATAAAAATGTAAATCATTCTCGATTTATATGAACTAATGTGACAAATAACCGCATTCTGTTGTTAGACATTCACTGTAGTAATATCTGTTATCCAATTGTTGTTTATTTTGATGTATAAATTTTTTTAAGCATATAATGGTTGAATTTTTTATAATTGCAGTGAATTCTTTTTTAGGTTTCCAGAGCAGTTAATTGGCGTCTCATCGCTGCTGGAGTGGCACTGTATGGTGGTTTGTACGCTGTAGAATATTGGCGTTGGAATTCCGGTGCAAAAGAGCAGCATTTGAAAGATCAGTTCCGACATCATCTAAATGCAAGGATGCGTAGTGTTGCAACTACACATACAATGCACTGTGAAACACAGGTTCTAAGGTCAGGCGGTATTTGAATTCAATCTAAAGAAAGTACTATTGCAGCCATATGCATTTAGTGTAAGTACTACTGCAACCATATGCATTTAGAGTGTATCACTTCGCATGGAAGTTTTCCATGTTGAACTTATCATATTTTTTAAATGAAGAATTTTTAACTTGATGTTTTCCTCATTTAAAGGTTGTAAAATATTTAATATAATTTTTGCAGAAGACTGTGCGGAATGGACGGTAGGTTGATGCTTACTAATTATATATTATACGCTTATATTTATTAGTTATTGATACTTATCAGAAAAATATTAACTACTTTATATCATTACATTATTCTTAAGCAATGCCAAAGATGTTCTCTTTTAAAGGGAAATGCAGCAAGTGATTAGTGGCTTAAAAAGTACAGTAGGTGGAGTGCATCAGGAAATGAAGACAGAACTTGATGTTATGCGAAGAGAAATTGGGAAAATCGATCACGTTACCAAAGGACTCAATACAATAAAGTGAGCTTCATGTCACACTTTTCTTTCTAATTACTGAAGAAAAATGATAAAAAGAGAAATTGTCTTAGAAGAAAGAATAGAATGTCTTAATGTGAATCGTTTTCGATTTATTTGAGCTAATATCAATAGAAATCGTGCCAAATTATCAGGCTAAGTGTTGCTTTCGAAACATTTTTTACCGGAAGCTTCTGTCTGTACCAAGCTTCCTTAAAGGAAATGAAATAATCATAAAAATCCTTCGTAATTTTTATGTGATAATTTGAGTTCAGTTGCAAAAATACCGTGTAGTTTGAATATTCCAGAGGGAAAGCATCATTTCTGAGCACAGATCTGGACCGTTTCGAGAGCGAATTTTTGAGAAACAGTTCGCATTCACCAGTACTTCAGCAATAAACTTTGTGGAATATATTCATTTTTATTGCATATTATTCGTCACTCTGATTTTATAGTTCCGAGCACCTTTAATGACTGAACTTTTTCAGCAAAATTTCAGGATAAATTACAAGCAAAAAAATTAGATGCGAGACTTTTTCACATCACTATTAGCATGAAAGTAGAAATGAAATAATTTACTTCTTTAACTAACTGGTCTTCTCTTGACACTTCCTGGTTTTTTGTGCCTTCTCTCTTGTGGATCAGTGTTTTGTGATTTAAGTTATTTCATTTTTATTAAGTTTAACGAACTTTTTTCTCATCGATGATTGTATTATTTTAGTTTTTGTCAAGTGATTAATTGTTGAGGTTCGTTATTTAGTTGATTTATGCTTAGAAAATTCAGCAAAAAAAAAAATCTATTTGTAGTTCTTTTCATGTCTGATTGTATGGTGAAGTTTATGTAGAAACAACTTTAGTTCACATGTTTAACAGCAGTTTTTATCGAAATAAATGTGAAAAGTGCATTCGTTTGCATCTGTCATAAAATGTGGGCTGATGGACAAAAGACTGGAAGTGACTGACGTAAAAGAACACTCTTTGATTCATCAGATTAGTACATAAAACCTCATATTGAATGATTCATCATTTGAGAGTAACGTTCATAGTAAAATGACATTTGAGAGTAACGTTCTAATAATGTTTTTAACGCTGTTATGAAATGGTTAAAGACATGGTACTAATATTGATGACGATGAAGATCCGAACAGCACTGTGAAGGCTCTAGTAGAAATGAAGCGGAATTGCAACTTTGTAGCTTTAGTTATAACAATGTTAGTGATGGTGTTTAACAGTGAGGCTGACGTGTTTATCACTTTGACAAGCACTTCGAAAAAAAAGTTTTTGGCTGTACAGCTGACATCTAAGCCTTGCAATCAAGCTATTAATCAAAAGTTGGACCTTTGAAAATTTGCTAGTAACAGAGGATGTGGAGCATTAATCAGAATTGATCAAATTTTTATCCATGTTATCTGGTGGATACGTTAAAACTGTTTTTGCAACTCATTCCTTTGGAGTTGATTTTTTTTTTTGCGTATCTAATTATATATTTCGCTTTGTATATCTAATTAAGAAATTTATTGGTGCCTTATTTGAGGATAATTATTTATAGAGTATGATGTATATCACGAATAATTCAAATTATTACACTTCACAGTAATGTCATCTTCCAGCTTTATGTTTAAAGAACATTGTAAAATACACCGAGAATTTTCCATTAGTTAAGCAACAACTTTCAAAGAAATTACAGTAAATATATCGGTAATATATGATTAGCATAGCTATTGTTTCTACCGGTTTAAAATTTTTCTTAGGAAAATCAATATATATATATACATATATATATTCCTTTACTGTATATATATATATACAGTAAAGGAATGAATTAAATTTGCGCAATGTTTTCAACGCTTACATTTTGTGAGTGATTGCAATAAAATTTGCAAATCAATTTTCTCACTTAACATTTTGAAATGTAAGATTTCAAGTTTCTCAAAAAATTTACTTTTTTTCCTTGCAATATCAATCATTTGGCGATTGCTATTTTAGTATTAAAAAGAATTTCATACTTTTCCTTTTTTTAGCTCAATAAAATTGCAAAAATATTTCCATTATTCTAAAATTATGCAATGGATCAATTTGCCACAATATCTGCCAATATCTTTGATATTAATTATTCTCACCATTCTTGGCCTTAATCATCTTTGCCTTACTTCACTTATAAGCCCTGCTAACTTTCAACAGGTTGGTTAATTCAGTTTTTTTCGACAGCTCAATTTGTTTGTTGCGTGATAATCTTCACGTAATTAATAACTATTTTCTTTAGGGTATAACTGAAATTAGCCTATTTCGTTCGGCGATCAATTGTACATTAATTGTTATTGCACCGTTAATATTTGTCTTACCTGCATCTTCCGGTAAACCACTTTAATTAATGACAATTATAAAATTTTTAAGAAAATTTCTCGTGTTAAATTCAATAAATTAAATTCATAAAGGAAATATTTTTCTAAGATAGCTTCCGTAAGGGAAATATTCAAAATCAATATTAAATGCTTTGGCTTATTTTTGCTGAATATGAATTTTTTTGTGTTAAATTTTAGCTTGCACAATCTTTCATTTATAGGATGAATTGAATTAAATAATTCATTTTCTTTCAGGAATATATGTTAATTAGTAAATTAAGATTTTACAAATAATTATACTAAAAATTTTCATGAAATTATACATATATTGAAGTTGTTGATAATATTAAATGAATTGCTTCTTTTTAAAAAACTAAATTTTCATTTCTAAAATTTAAAATGCTTTCATTACAGCTGAACTTATAATATTTTACTTATTGGGCTACGGATGTGCTGCGATATTAGCAATTTCGTTAATTGCCCCGATACTACACTATAATCCATCACCCAGCATTTGTCACTATATTAAATTACGATTCAATCAGTCATTTCGTATGTGTGAAAAATCAAGATATCATTAGGGCCATAACTTGGCTTATTATCAATTTTAAACAATTTTGTTAATATAATTTCGTGAAAAACTGTTCCTTTAACTTGATTGCTAAAATTTTCTTACTATTTTTATTTTGGAATGATTTTTTTTTCTTTGAAAATTTATTAAATCATCAATAATTACATACTTTTCATAAATCTAAAAATCATAAGCTAAGCTTTACTCATTCATAAATAAGTATTACTAAAAAATAAGATGTTTAATCGTCTTTCAGTTCATGTATTTGCATGTATATTAAATATAATTTTTTTAATGGTGTTATCCATAATATTACTGATAATGACAGCATCACTTATTACTCCGACATCTTTCTTATCACCGTGCAAAACATGCACTGCACTGGGATATATCAGTATTTTTGCAATTGCTTTTGGTGGTCAAACATGCGTTTCTTCCAATGTCTTCTTTGCATCAATTTGTGTAAGAAAAAAAAACCAAACTCTTTCATTTTAAAATTTTATCTTAATTTTTTAATTAAATTCATATTTAGTGACAGCAAGAAAAAATTAACTGTAAATATGAGAAAATGAATACATTTCAAATTTGAATAACAAGCAATTTCATTGTTGGAAATTAAAAAGAAACAAATTGGAATGCATGTTGTGATGTGTTGATGGCAGTTATAAAATTTTTACAAAATATAAAATTTAGCTAACAATGCTAGGAATTTCATATTTAACATATGATGGTCTTACAAATTATCTATACTATTTCCTTGATATCATATCATCTGCTGATTATTTATTATTCAATTCATGGACTGCATTTTATTTGGGCATATTAAATGGTTTACACCTTCTTATTGCCAGTCCATTATTATATCAGGTTATCATTATTGATATTGCCGTAATAATTAATTAGTTTGTTCAAAATGACAATTATTTGCAAAACTATCAAAAGCAACAAATTGATAATAATTAGTACACATTATTACAAACAATACACATTTCCTCGAGCGATTTTTGATTGATGTTTTACTATTAACTAAAGATAATTTTGATTAATTAATTGACTGATCGATTAATTGAGATCAGGAAAAATAATCGGAAAATATAAAAAAAGCAATTGATAGTTAATATTTTTATTGTTTAACGGAAAATTTTTACAGCAATATTTCTCGCTGTCATCATGTCAACGTTTACGTCAATCATTGGCTCTTCACGTGGGACTTTTTAGTCTTTTAACTGTCACAATCCTTTTATCACCCAATTTATATGCTAATAAAATTAGCTGGTTTTGTCCGACAATTTTATTTTCAATTTTTAATATAAGCCAAGAAAATGTATCAGAAAAAACGGATAATGGATTAATTTCATTACTGATCACTGCAGTTTTATCACTTATTGCTTCATTTGGTATCATTTTAACACAGCTTAGTTTGATAAATTTGATTTGGGAAGATATGTTACGTCCATGGCTTATACGACGTCCATTACAGCAACAAATTGGATCAATACAGGTTAGTTTTTCATTTTTATAACTTGATTGTCGAATTAATAAATTATAAATTATTATATTGAAAATTTAAATAACTTATATATGATATTAATGAAAATAAGTTAGTTTAAAAAAGAAACCTAGAAAGTATTGGCTAATTTCGATCGAATTAAAATTAAATTTGAAACAGTTTTAGATTGGTTTACTAATAATTGGAAATATAATTATTGCAATCTCAAATGTATGGCTCTATTTTGATAAGCCATTAAGACATGGGCCAATATCGTTACTAATTTTAAGATTAGTTTTCAATCAAACTATACTCTATAATTTTTGTTTTCTTTCAAAACATACCAAATATTTAAGAAGCTATATCTTAGTTATATCAATTGCTCAATACAATCAATACGATATCTGTTTATTGAATATATAGATTATTAGTAATTTGATTTTAGTTTATTTTAATATTTTCAAATGACATTTTAGCACTTTAATAGCACCGATGACAGCACTTTACATCTGTAGCTATCTTTTTCCATTCACGAATAGAAAAGGAGCTATCACCGGCTTAATTATTGGTATTCTCGGTGCACTAATTCTATTCTACCTTTACTTTCGCGTTGCACCTCTTCGATTTCATTATTTTCCAAAGCCATGCATTAATGGGACATCAATTCCATATTCATTAATATTGGCTGATTATAAATTTACACATAGAGAATTGGATTTTATTCCAACAGTATCACAAGCGATAACTAATAAAGTACAAGAATTGTTACCATTTCTTTGTGAAATACCAATTTCATGGTATCCATTAGTTACTTTTACAGTAAGTAATTAATTAATTGCTTAAATAAAACTTCGAAATTCTCAGCTCTTGCAATCCTCTTTCGTTCAGCAAAACAAAAATTTCCATTAACAATCATTTTTTCGCAATCGATCATATTCCAAAGAGGTATTATTATTGCATAATATCGCATTGTTTTTGCTCTAAAATTTACATGTTAAAGGCATGGATTCTTTGTCTTAATTGTTTATTTTGTGCGGGGTATAAATTTTTATTAAATTGAACTATTTTGATGTATTTGATTAAAGATAAAATTATCAATTGAAATAAAAGTATTAACAATTTGACTAATATTATTTCCTTGCTGAAAGATAATAACATTCTGCAGATTTGCTTATCATTTTTCTTTTGATTTCTGCAACATTTACAGATTGCTATATCATCAATGCTACTTGTATCATTTTGTACAAGTAATAACGATATTGATAAATTTGATTGGAAACTGATAATATGTGCACCACATATTGGAACCTTTATACATAATAGTGATAATGCAATCAACTATAATAAACGTGTCGCATTCGTTGAATGCGAATCATTTCGGTTCGGTTGTTACTTTTAATTTATTTAAACTTAAAATCAAAATTTATTGCATTCATTAGAAAAAAAGAAATTCTTTTTCGGAATGAAATAATTCATTAAGTTGAAAATTTAATAAAATTTTATAAATTCAAAGAAAAATTGTATTATTTAATTGGCTAAATTTACAGATATGCTCAACAAACACCATATCCGGATACAGTAACCACTGTTACACATATGATTCATTGATAATTATCATGAATTTCTATATTCTTACACTGTTAATAGCTAATATATGACATCATTAAAATGATTATTATGATAATCTCTTCACCTATCATTTATTTTTCTTTAATTTGAATTGCCAGAAATTCTTAATTCGAAGTGTTAAATTCAAATTAAATTTTAAAATTCTTTCCTTTTAAAGTGTTTTTGTCTCCATTATATCTTACATTGTAATTTCCAATATTATATGCATTAATATGTTCAAAAATTGTTAATCGTTGCAATAACAAATTAATTTAAAAAATTTAATTGAAAAGAAAATTGCATAAACAATTGAAATAAAAAAGACTGTTAAAAGACAAACTGTCCCATTTTCTTTGAATCAAATAAAAATTTATTACAAACTATTGTCATTCTTGCCAGAATTTAATTAGATTAGATTAAATTGGAACTTTTAAAATAGCTTCCAATTTTGTTCATCCAATTTTGGAAATGACCATTAAAAATAGAGAAAACAGGAAGATGGATATACATTTCATCACTGAAAATATTTAAAATCACGTATAATCATACGTGTAATTCAATCATTAAAAACATCTAAAATCACGTATGATCGAACGTGTAATTCAACCATTAAAGATATCCAAAATCACGTGCGATCAAACGTGTAATTCAATCAATGAAAATATCTAAAATCACGTGTAATTCAATCATTGAAAATATCTAAATCGCGTGAATCAACGTGTAATTCAATCACTATCAATGCATTCTCGATAACAACTTCACATAAAACAAATAAAAAATTAACGAATGTATCAAAAGTATCATAGATGAATTAAATGATTGATAATAATAAGCATGCGAGATTCCTAATGGCGCAGAAAGCTTTCAATCATTCAATCTCTTCTATTCTTAACACAGACTGTCCTTTGTAACGAGTACGGGTTACTTGAAGTTCTCCTGGGAAGAAGGTTGTTTGTGAATGGTAATTCAGGCTGGAATGGCAAAATGGAAATGAAGTGCATAATGGAATGAAATGTGATTTGTTAAGATGTTTATCGAAATTTGGATCTAAATAAGGAGAAGAGATTGGTTGTGAAAGTGGCAGAGTTGGAAACGGTGATAAATGCAGTTGTGACAATGACAATAGTTGTGGTGAACTGGAAAGAGGCGAAAATGTTTGCTGCTGTAGCATTGATTGAAATGGTCTAATTTTAAAATGACCAGGAATAGAGGGCAGCGAAGACTGATAAATTTGAGCATCAATCAATTGGGTCGAAATTCCAGTACCAACAATTACTGGGATTTTAATTGGTGTATATTCATTGAGCATCAATGACACGTGATAAGATGAATTGATAAGTGCATCTGGATGAGAATAAGTTGGAAATGCATTATTAGGAATCTGAAGCAATTCTTATTATAATTCTCAAGAGCAACTTCATTCATTTTCTGGAGGACAAAGATTACAAAGTGCTTCGTTGAATTCAACGTTTGCAATTTCGATAAATTTCTCAATTCATAAATTCTCTTTCTTAAATGCACTTTCTTAATCCCATAAATTGTATTAAGTTCATCATTTTCTATCAAAGTATTTCATTGTTGTTATATTTGGTTTGTTGGAAAGAAGAATTATTCTAAACTAAGAATTATTTCTCAAAGGCATTAATTAAATAATTATTTCTCAAAGGCATTAATTAAACCATTTCTTCATCTGATCGAATTAATTTTTTCCCAAAAGTTTTTACAAGTAAAAAGGAAGCAATATGATATTTAAACTTCATACTTTTATTTATTTATCTAAAATTTTTTCAAATTTAAGAGAAGTTGTAATTCAAATTAAAAATTGCCCAAAATTTAAAACCTCTTCGGCAATGTTAGCTTTCTTAAATTAAAAGTATTTATAAATTACAATAATAAGTGGATTATGCCCATCGCTCTAATTAAGTGATAATTTTTTTTTAAATTTAATTTTTCATTGAAAAAACAGCAAAAAAAGGTCAGGGTTGAAGTAACCAACTGAAAATACCAACCGAAAATCGTAGACACATTCATCAGTTAAAAATGATATATTAAATTATACACTACATTTAAGTAACTGTACAACCTACGAAAAGTTTCTGAACTTTAGAGACTGTAAAGAGAAGGCCTAAAATTGGGCGGAAAAAAATCTAAAAGAAAGATAAAAATTTCATGGATTTTGCAAAATTCATAAATTAATCCTTTTTCCATAACATCTTCCGCTACTTAAATAAGATGACAATTTTAAAACAATGATTTTTTAATTAAAAAATAATTAAATGGGTAAATGTAAAAAGAAAAAGTTTCGAAGTATAATTTTGAATGTTAATAAAGTAAGTTTCCTTCGCATTTTTTAACATATTTGTAAAAAATAGCATTGCTCATTTTTCATTTCCACAATGATTGCTATTTGAAACTGTAGAAAAATTCATAAATTGTTGAAAATGAAATAACAATTTAAACAAAAATTTATTAATTACTTGCAAACAGTGTTGGAATTCGATAATGGAACACTGCCGAATCATTGGAAGTGTAAAATGTGACAATGTTGTGGTCCTGTAAAATTGACAAATGAAGTCTTCCGATCAATCTAAGATAATTATCATTGATTAAATATTTCTTCTTTACTATAGCTTATATATAAATTAGATGAAATATCTTTTCTCTACAGTTGTCATTTTAGAGTATATGTTAAAAATCATTTATTCTCAAAAGAATATCATAACATACTAAAAACGGAAAGCTACTTGCGATCGATTACAGTACGACGGCATATCGTTCAATTCGGTATTTGAAGAATAGGAAAAAAAAAGTGGTAATTAAAGAAAATTTCTTCTGGTAATTAAAGAAAATTTCTTCATCGGTGTTCATTTTGTTGAAATCAAACATGATTAATCGAAATTTAATTAATTTATTAAAGTAATTGATTATGTTTTAACAACAATAAAATATTACATCATTTTCAAATTTGAAGAGGAAAAGCAAATAGAAAAAAATGAATATGAAATAAAATGTTTAAAGACAAAATAGCGAATATAATTATTTCTTAGAATAATTTGAATAAAGTGTACTAACGTGAATCTCTCGTTGTTTTTACAACGAAATCGTACAACCATAACAAGTCCAACAATACTATCTTTGATATGATTTTTTGGATGTTCATTACTTATTTCACCGTGTATAACAATCGTCTCACCTGAAAATATCACTAATAATAATCATTACACTAGTAATCAAATAATTTTATCCACTAAATTATTAAATCTTTTGAGTTTTATTAAAATGAACTTATTAATATCATTCATTTTTCTTGCAAACTGGTGCATTAACTAATCAAATATCATTTGATAAGATAATCATTCTCTGATAACTTTTAAGATTGTTATTTCTATTACGAAAGTGAAATAAATGATTTAAGAAATAACCTTGAAAAAATGCTGTTTTTGGTAATTTAATAAAAACTTTAGTAGATGATTTATTGAGACAGAAAAATTTCTTATGAAAATATCGTTCAATATGAACAGGTATATGAAGTGACAGGTAAGGAGTAATATCCATTATCGATATCACTCGTACTGGATGTATTTGCACTAATTCCGAATGCCCAATACGACCAAAAATACATAACTATAATTGGTTTAACAATATCAAATAAAATATAAAAAGATAATAATGACACTAAAAAATATATGATTTATTGCTATAAGGAATTTCCGAACTCAATTCATTACTTTAGTAAATATACAAATTTACAAAAAATATAAATAGGTATACGAATGATAAAGTAATTGGAAAAAATAGATCAATAAATGAAATAATAAATGATATTTCGAATTTAATTTCAGTTTCAATTTTCTGACGAAATAAGGAATCAGCGAATAACCTTAACAGCTGTTAAATATTCGATGGAACCATATTTACCCAAATAACTTCCCGGACATTCTTTATCAATTATCAATTTTGTTACAGCTTTATGTTTACCAGCTGGTGCAGAAATTTCACCATTCCGATTACGCCACTGTCGTATAAGGGTGTCAAATTTAATCGGGAATGAAGCAATTTGCCGAGATTCCATTTGATTGGCAATTTTTGTACGAACCTTACCTTCGAAAAAACCAATAAGTGAAGTGATTTGAGTTGCATGGGTAAAGTTGAATTCCACTATGATTGTGAATAGCTGAAATCAATAATATGATTTATACAACAAATGAAAATATTTACAAAACTCTTCCATAAAAATTTCTCAATGATTTTATAAATAATAAAATGATTTAAAAAACAAAAGAAGATTAAAACTTAAATGTACTATAAAATAAATCATCGCACAATTAAATGAAATATCATTTTTCGTTATCTTTTTATTATTCCATTCTTCAGCAAATAAATTTGGGTCATTTCATTTCCGATTTTCTTCTTGCTATCAGTTTCCGATTTTCGTATTTATTTTTTTCTACCACTTCTAATTATCCGATGAATATATGTCATCTGTTAATTCGAAATCAGGAATAAAGTACAGCATAAAGAATTGGATAAAAATGAGTGAAAAGACTATTTCATTAATCAGTTGTTGTCAGAAATTTGCTTCAATCGTTTAATTAACCGATATTTCGTACTATAACAATATCAATTGATACCGTACAAATATTCTGACAGATGCCATAAAATTAAACCGATGTTAGTTGTCATCTTTTAAATATCATTTAAGAAGTGTGAGAACGTTTTCAGATGAACCGAATGAATATTGAAATTTTGCAAAAAAATGAGAAGATAAAGTTAACAAAATTTGAAATAATTTCGATTCAATTGAAATAAATTAATTTAAAATTTTTAATAGATAAAAATAAATTCTTTCATTGACAATTTGACTATTAAATGTTTTGTTTAACCATTAATATTGCAATGATTGAATTAAAGATAAAATTTAAACAATTCTAATTGTGATATATGTTATGCACTTATTTTTTCGTTAGAACAATGAGACAATTAATGAGACAAATATTTTATAATTCTTTTCGCACATATCCTAAAAAAAATCAAACTAATCATCGAAATTTTTAATTGTTCTAGTTATCATTAATTATGCGATGGGACCAGTTTTCATCAAATGATAATTTAAATGATATATGATGCAAATATAACGAAAAATTAAGTGTAACGTATAAAACATATATTAATATTATCCATTCAACCATAATATTATTCACTAATCAAAAAATATATATCGACGATTTATTGCTGTTTAAATGGCAAATATCATTTAAATGTAAATTTCACAGTTTAATCATCCTTTGACCTTTGATAATTAATCATTAATATTTTGCATTATCTATGCTAAAAGACGAGTAAAGGAAAAAAAGCAATGCTTACCTGTCCAACGTGAATACTTTCCTGACAGGAAATATGAAGCACCGATTGCTCCTTCTTCATAACAATGAATCGCTTCAACCGATCATTCTATCATTTCTCATTTCATTTCTCCCATTCATCATATCTCATCCAAATTTCAACAACCACCCTTATTGGGAGCATTCTTCAAATGAAATTAAAGCTTCAAAACACTGCAAATATATACATACATACATACATAAATACATGCACATCCATATACATACACATACATACACGCACACATGCACATAACACATACATACACACAGACACACACACATTCAAAACACATATATATACACTTATATATCGAAAAAGAAAGTGGTATGACAACTGCGCATTGTGGGAGTTACCCGGAACTTTACCCGTCTTGCCCCTTTTATGCCCAATTCACTTTCCTGATTTACCATTTTATAGCGTTAAAATATATCCGAACGGATAGACATACCTATTTGAATTCAGTAAAATCATTTTCACACTTATCTTGATTATTCGTAATACACTATGGTATATCGTTATGATTACAATATCAATGCTAACATTTGATATACGATCTGTTATAGCTGTCAGTACATTAGAGAGTTGATTTCATTAGCATATCAAAGATTCATACAATCTCAGGAAGGAAAGAGAAAAGTGAATTTTCTCATTTGAAGTGAAATTTTAAAATTTAAATTTATAGAACCCATACAATTAGCATTTAACTTCAATCGTTTGAAATGAAATTTCTGAATTTAGATTTTGTGAAATTCTTACTATTAATGTTTAAGTGTTTAAATGTTTAATATTTAAATTCAAAGTAAATGGAAATTGATCAATAAACTATTAAAGCGCTGTTCTCAAAAACTTAATTATGCCAACAATTCTTAATTATAATTAAGAATGAAAGAAAGCATTTAGAATTTGCTTAGAATTTCATTTGTTGTTTAATTTAAAAATTAATTCTTTTATTTGTTAAATCTAAAAATAAAAGTCAGTTGACTTAATGATTCATCCATTTTATCATTTCTCTTAAACAAAATTAATTTTATTAAGCCATTATATTTATAAGTATTTATCCAATTTCTTTAAAGGTTAAATATGCAAATTATTCACTTTAAAGGTTAAATTTGAAGCAAAGGTCAAATATGCAAATTATTCACTTTAAAATAACATCTCATCAAACATTTTAAGCCAGTGAAACTTTGATGAAATGAATAATTAATTAAAACGCTAAAAGTGAAAAGCAATAAGTCGTCGATATATATATTTTTTTGAATATTATGGTTGGATGGATAATATATATTTACACGTTACTTTTCGTTACATTTACATCAGAACGAATGAATAAATTAATTTTAGAAACAATTTGATAAATCAATAGAGAACAAACTTGAATAAAAGAAAAGCTGGTATTATTTGAAAGTGTTCATAGGAATATTTTAAAGAGAAAATCATTGCCAAAAGTATAAATTTAAAAAAATAATAAAGTGGCAAGGAGTTTATTCCTTCTCAATTAAAGCAAGTTTTCTTAAAATTTTTGATAAATATTTTTTAGAATTATTTCAGTACGCCTACGTATTTGTGTAGTTTGTCTTTCATGTTGCAGTTATTAGAGTGTAAAATTAATTTGTACTACGAAATACAATACAAATGGCAAATATGATTCTGCATCAATAAGCAATTGAAGTAAAATTTATTTAACTGAATTAATTTGCAAAATGAGAAAATGAAATGTAAAAAAATTTGATTGAATTAAATATGAGAAATAAAGTTGGTTTGAAATCTTGAAATTACGCTTTCATTTATCATTTATTGAAATTTGAGAAAATTTTTCAAAATCTTTTATTTTTTATCTAACATTTCAAGCTCATCAAATATTGCCAATCTTTTATAATACTGGAATTGTTGCGATGAGATATTTATATTAATTCATTTTAAATCATTTTATATAAACATAAAGTCCAATTTAAATTTAAATCAAAATTTTTATTCTTAATTTGTTTGAAACTCAATGAATGAACGATAATTATTCAATGTATCAAGTTCTATCTTTTTTGTTCATTCAATTCTTTCATGTGGAAAAATTATTCATTCAACTATTTCAAGCGGAAAAATTGAAATTTCGATGAAGTATCCGGAAAAAGTATTAGAAAGTGAGAGAAGAGAGATGAATAAGGATATTGTGAATTTTAATTTTTGAAAAAAGCACTGGAAACAAGAAACAGAAAAGATTTGTGCAATACGGAATCTTTTTTTTTCATTTCAATATAAACAATTAAAATTATTTCTTTAGGAGATTGATGAACAAATCGGAACAAATTAATTATTGATACACATATTATATATTTCAAATTCAAATTTAATACATCACATATTAATAGTATCCAATGGTCTATTAAATTATATATTAGTGACCAATAAAAAATAATTCAGAAAGTCAGTGAGAAGTAAATATGAAATGATTTGCATTATTTAGATTTAAAAATTGTCATCATTATGATCGCTATTTATGATAAAAAATATAATAATAATTGTAGCATACAATAAAAGTGACAACAACGATAACAACTGTAGTAACAACAGCAACGACAACAGCAATAACAACGGCAACAACAGCAACAATAATAGCACCGACAACAATATTAATAACATTAATGGGAAGAAATAAACTGAAACGACAAGTGTATTAAGCTGTAACGAGCGATAATAATATATTTTAATTAAATCTTTTTATTAAAAGATTACATATACATAATAAAAATTCTTGTATTTTCTTTTTTGACCTTTCAGCTCTTTTGATATGTGAATAGCAATAGAAGAATTGCTAAAAAAATTCATTCAATTTAGTTTCTCGTAATTTTTACAATATTGAATTTGATAAATGATGCTAAAAAATACATATCAATTAATTTATTAATTTAATTATTTCCACTGCTAATTACAATTGCAATAAATAAATTGATATTATTAATGATTGGATATAAAATAATATTTACAAATGTAATTATTGCTTTTAAAGAAAATGATATATGCTTTGAAGTTATATTTTAAAAAAAATACTGCTTTAACTTTTCAATTGCTTAATTTACGCCATTTAAAAACAGTTGAAAAATGAGTGAAATTTTAAAGACAGAATAAAAAAGCAGGCAATTAATAAAATTAATAGATTAAGAAAATTTTTGAGAAACAAAGCAATGAAACGTTAATTAAATATAACAAAAGTTTTTGTTTTTCCTTTTTTTGGCAACAATTCAATTTCATAAATATTTGAAAAATATTTCATAGTTGTAAAATGTTAATAAAATATATTCAATAATTTCATGATATTTTCCATTTATAATATTCTCATTTGCGATCTTTTAATAATTTAATATGCATAAAATTAAATTTAAGAAAAATAGCAAATTTAAAAAATAAATTTAATTTTGAAAGTTTAAAATTGACGAAATTATTCAATTAAATTTGTTTATTTAATTCTGATAAGTTTTACTAATATAAAGTCAATGTAAATATGATTTAATAACATTAACAATAATTATTTTTGTGATTTTTTTTCGTTGTAGAAAAATTTTTACAATTCTTAAAATATGTATTTCAAAATTAGTATCGTTTCAATTATTGTTTTTCTTTATTTTCTTTATTATGAATTACATTAGTGATATAATGTTTGTTTTTTCATCATCAATAAATGACATTGAATATTGT